CTCGAGATTCCACTTGGATCCTGAACTCATTAAGTGTCTTAACCATATCTCATTCTTTGACGGAGATCTTAGCCATCATCCCTCTGCTTTTACGACTTAGAGCATCTGCTACTACATTGGCTTTATCGAGGTGATATGAGAGAGTGAACTGGAAATCCTCAAGATACTCCATCCATCGTCTCTGTCTCAAGTTACGGTCCTTCTGCGTGAATAGATACTTCAGACTCTTGTGATCTATGAAAATCTCAAATTGTTCCCCATATAGGTAATGTCGCCACTACTTTAGGGCAAAAACTACAGCTGCTAACTCCAAGTCATGTGTGGGGTAGTTTCACTCATAAGGTTTCAACTGCCTGGATCCATACGCGACTACCTTTCCATTTTGCATGAGCACGCAACCTAACCATTCTTTAGACGCATCGCAATACATAGTGTACCCCTCTTCTCGTTCTGGGATGGTCAAAATTGGCACACTAGTTAACCTCTTCTTTAGCTCTCAGAAGGATTTTTCGCAAGCTTCGTCCCACTCATACTTTACTCCCTTTTGCGTCAAACGAGTCATTGGTTTAGCTAGTTTGGAGAAATCTTGGATGAACCTCCGGTAATAACCGGTCAATCCTAAGAAGCTGCGGATTTCTGACACGGTTTTTGGTTGTCTCCAATCTAATACTGCCTCCACCTTGGTTGGATCCACCGCAATCTCATTCTCTGATACCACATGCCCTAAGAATTTCACTTCATTCAACCAGAACTCACATTTACTCGTCTTGGCATATAGCCGATTATCCCTAAGAACTTGGAGGACAGTCCTTAAATGTTGCTCATGCTCTTCTTTAGACCTTGAATATACCAAGATGTCATCAATGAATACTACTACAAACTGGTCAAGGTATGGTCTAAAAATCTTATTCATTAGGCTTATGAATACTGCCGGTGCATTGGTTAATCCGAAGGGCATTACTACAAACTCACAGTGGCCATATCTAGTACGAAAGGCAGTTTTTGGTATATCCTCCTCCTTGACTCGTAGTTGATGGTAACTTGACCTGAGATTGATCTTTGAATAGCACCTTGAGCCTCTAAGTTGGTCAAAAAGGTCATCAATCCTTGGGAGTGGGTATCGGTTCTTAATCGTGACTCGATTGAGTTGACGATAATCGATGCATAGTCTCAACGACCCATCCTTCTTTTTAGTAAACAACACGGTTGCTCCCCATGGCGAAGTACTTGGCCTAATGAATCCTCTCTCGAGCAATTCTTGTAGTTGTGTCTTCAATTCTCATAGTTTTGTTGGTGCCATGCGATATGGAGCCATAGATATTGGGGTAGTTCTAGGTTGCAGCTCGATGCTAAAGTCTACTTCCTGGGTTGGCGGCAATCCTGGTAATTCCGTAGGAAATACATCGGCATAATCGCATGCTACGTGTGGAAGTTCTATTTCTCCTTGGCCCTCCTCATTTAGAATCAGACTTGTTATTTTACCCGCAAGTTGATCGCGCCACTGCGTCCGATGTTTTGTTGGAACCATGGGGTCTTGTCTATCCCCCTTAAACAGGAAACGTGTTCCATCTTGCGTATGAGCTACCACTTTCTTCTGACGACAGTCGATCACCGCTCGGTGGGTGGACAACCAGTCCATGCCCAAAATGATATCGAAGTCCAACATTTCCATGACACGAAGGTCGCAAGTTAAGCGTAGGTCCGACATCCCTATCTTACAGTCCTTACAGATCGATCCTACCCGAATGCATCCTCCTATAGGTGACATTACACTTAAGGCAGTTGCTAAAGGTTCACATACAAGTTCTAATGACTTAACACAAGCAGAGGATATAAAGGAATGTGATGCACTAGTATCAAACAAAACATGCACCCAAGAATTGTATAGTACTAAATTACCCTTAATTACAGACGGGTCCGCTTTTTCCTCTTGCAGGGCAAAGATTCTGCCGGTTGCCTTCTAGTTGCCACTGGTCTTGGCGTTCTGAGTTCCTCCACCCTTCTGGTGCTGCTGCCCGGTAGATCCTGTCTTATTCGTCCAAGGCTTCTGTCCACCTAATGCCTGGGCATTTGCTCGGGAACCTCCTTCTTGGTATCCAGATGGAGGGAGTTGGGGGCATTCGCTCTTTTTGTGCCCTAATTGTTGGCAATGAAAGCACTGGATTTGTCCCATCGGCCTTTGTTGATAGCCTCCTCTCTGGATCTGTTGCTGTCGTTGCTGTTGTGGTTGTGGTCTGGAGTAGGGCTTTGAGGTCATGCTTTCCTTCTGGTTCCTCTGAGGTCCAATAGACGCCTGACTCCCTTTTCTCATGTTCCGAGCTTTCCTGGCGTCGTTTACTTCCCTTTCAGATTCTAATGCCGTCTCCAACACCTCAGCATATGAGGAGAGTCGTTGCGGAAGAACTCTTCCCCTGATTGTAAGGTCCAGTCCCCACTCGAACATCCTTGCTTTCTCTTCCTCATTTGCTACGTATCTAGTTGCATAACGGGCTAGCTCTTCAAATTTTGGTTCCTCTGAGGTCCAATAGACGCCTGACTCCCTTTTCTCATGTTCCGAGCTTTCCTGGCGTCGTTTACTTCCCTTTCAGATTCTAATGCCGTCTCCAACACCTCAGCATATGAGGAGAGTCGTTGCGGAAGAACTCTTCCCCTGATTGTAAGGTTCAGTCCCCACTCGAACATCCTTGCTTTCTCTTCATCATTTGCTACGTATCTAGTTGCATAACGGGCTAGCTCTTCAAATTTTGCAGCATACTGGGTCACGGTCATATTTCCTTGTTCAAAGTTTTGGAATTCCTTGACTCGTTCTCGGCGGATAGTACATGGAAAATATTTATTTAGGAATAGTTCCCTGAACTGGTTCCATGATAGGCTTGCTACATCACGAGTGTTCTTGATTAACTCCCACCAATGGTCAGCCTCATCATCAAGCTCGAATACTGCCAAAGCTATTCTATCAGCGGCCTCGGTTATGCCCATGGTGTCTAGCATTTTCTCTATCTGCCAAAGCCAATTTTCAGTTATCTTCGGGTCCAGTACACCTGTGAACTTTGGGGGCCTCTGCTTCCGAAACTCAGAAAGAGTCGAGTCCTCTCATTCTGCCGATTGTTCCTTATTTGCCCTAGTACCTCCAAAATTTGATGACCTAGGTTATTGGGGATGTCAGCCCCTGCGGGGATGGGTCCGTGTTGATTTCTGGGACGGTTTCGTACATTGTTGCTGGTTTCAGTATAGCTATTAGCTCGCGTGTCCACCATTCTGTTCATGGCACGTGATGAGTTGGTTTCCAGTCTTAGAAAATCTTACTACTTAGATTTGAAATAAAGGTTCAGTTTCCTTAGGGTGCACTAAAGCAAGTAACAGTCAATAACATTACACATCATTCATATATTATAATAGGTATCATTACAAAAGGGCTCCTATGTCGGAGTTACATTCAAAGAGCATCTACGCATTACAAAGTTCAGGCTATCTTATTCTAAGGATCCCCATCAGCGGATCTTACAAAAGTCTAGTTTTATTATCCCTCGAATTAATTCTCGTTTCCCGACCAATCAAAGTCTTCTTCTGGGTCTTCATTAGTGGAGTCAGTGGCTTGGTCCGGAGAGCGGGGGGTGTACATTGGTGAAGGGGGATTGTGTTCACATGACACCTCGAGAGGGTAGGCTGGGTTTGCTCCTTACTGTTCTGTTGACTGCTCCATATTCATTGGTTGATGGTTGCCTTGGTCCTGATAAGAAGATGCGTGACTTTCAGCCGGAGTCGGTGGTCGGTGGTATGCTCTGGTGGTCAAAGCTTGGTGTATCAAGAAGTCCATCCTCTGATCATTTTGCTCCATTCGGATCGCCTTCTTCACTGCCCGGCTCAAGAATTGTAGGCTGCGCCGCACCAGGGACCTCTTCTGCTCCCTCGTATAGCGGGAGTACTCTGTCTCCACCTTATGTATCTCGGTTTTGATCATTTCCTCGGCGACACTTATACAGCGTCGGTGGCTAAAGCAGGGGCTAACAGACATGGCCCTCCTTCCTTGCATGCGGAAAGTACCCCATGAGTCGAGACTGACGGCGCATCCTGGATAGTCTCCCGATGACATCCTAAGGTGGGAAAAGACTTTCATTAGTTAATCTTCTTATAATAGCGTGATAGAATAAAATAAGATAAGGGGTTAGGGCTTCTAGAGTCGCGTATAGGATTGCGAGGGTTAAGGGTTGAACCTATGCTCTGATACCAAGTTCTGACGCCCCGATTCTACACTATTGGTTGCAGTCAAGGGAGAGTCACTAATGAGTCCTATGGTCAATAACCAAGTAAGATCCCGGATCGCCGGAGGAGTCAAGTTAGCCTCCCTTCTAAGTCCATCTTTCTTAGGCAGCGCACTACCCTTTTGACAGATCTTAAAAGGTATTGACACAAGGTCTCATAAGCAACGATAAGGTTCATACATAGAATATAAATACATAACAATCACAAATATACTTAATTCAAAGATTGTTCCATTACATTACATCCCAAAAAAAAGAAGTTTAAAACTTCACATGATTCTTACAAAATAACAAAAGGAAATTTCTAGCCTTCCTAAGATAGCCAAAAGTCTTCGAAGGTTTCCGGCTTGTCGTCTCCCGTTATAAGTTCCGCTTTGTCACCTGGCATGATACGGCATGAGCTTTGAATGCCCAGTAAACACACACACACCCCGTCCCTTTTTTCCAGTCCAATACACAAACACCAATATAACATCAAGTAGTAAAGCATGATACTCAAATAAATAAATAAAGGGTTAAGTTAGATGTCAGTAAACTAGAAATCCCCCAAAGAGATTTCGTCCTCCTAACCACAAGAATCGGACGCGGATTATTCGGTATGCCCCCTCTTTTGCTACTTTGTTGCAGAACTAACCTCGGATGCCTACCAACGGTTATATACCGCGTAGCGCCAACCGCAGGGCCTCAAAAGAGACTGTAAAATAGGGCCTTGCCCAAATCTCTCCTTACACCAAACCACCTAGGGTCCGAATACAACCGCTCCGTTCAAGGGTCTCGAAAATCACTTGCGCAAGACTTTAACTTCCAAATAGGAAACGCATCCCAACAAACCATATATCACATATTCTCATCTTTTCATTACTCAAGTGTTCGAAAACCCAATACCCACCCCATTAGGTTTCCTGTTGAGTTAAATGTTTTACATCAAGGTTAGACAGCTTAACAATATAATAATATCCACACAAGTATGCCTCAATAAGATGAAAAAGATGATGAACATAACATAACACATACAATATCACACATAATTTCAAAGGGAAGCGACCAATCTGGTGATTTCATGATTGGGGCGGTGGTTAGGGCCTTTCTTAGTGTTTCAAACGCCTTCAAGCATGCCTCATCAAAGATAAAAGACGCGTCCTTAACGAGTAAACTATACAAAGGACGTGATATTTTACTAAAGTCTTTGATGAACCTACGATAAAAACCTGCATGCCCTAGGAAAGACCTAATTTGACGCACGGAATAGAGTGGAGGAAGACCTACAATGAGGTCAACCTTAGCCTTGTCTACCTCTATACCTTGAGGGGACACAATATGTCCCAACACTATACCCTCACGAACCATAAAATGGCTTTTTTCCCAACTCAAAATTAGGTTTGACTTAGTACATCGTTCCAATACTCTAGTCAAGTTCCTAAGGCATTCCTCAAAAGACGGTCCAAACACTGAAAAATCATCCATGAAAACCTCAAAGAATTTCTCCACCATATCGGAGAAAATGGCCATCATACACCGTTGAAAAGTCGCCGGTGCATTACATAGCCCAAAGGGCATGCGCCTGTAAGCAAAAATACGAAAAGGGCATGTGAATGTGGTCTTTTCCTGGTCAGCGGGGTACACCGGGACTTGATTATACCCTGAATATCCATCAAGAAAACAGTAGAAACCTTGCCCCGCTAACTGCTCTAGGATCTGGTCAATGAAAGGTAAGGGAAAATGATGCTTCCTAGTCGAGGAATTCAGTCTCCTATAATCAATGCACACTCGCCACCCAGTAGTGGTTTGTATGAGGACTAACTCTCCTCTCTCATTCTCAACAACAGTGATGCCCGATTTCTTGGGCACCACTTGTGTGGGACTCACCCACTTGCTATCTGAGATGGGCTATATAATACCCCCATCCAACAATTTCAATACCTCCTTCTTCACCACCTCTTTCATATTAGGATTCAGTCTCCGTTGCATTTCGCGAGAAGGTTTGGTGTCCTCCTCTAGGTGTATATAATGCATGCACACGGAGGGATCTATCCCTTTCAAATCAGCCACTGACCACCTATAGCACTCCGATATACCACGAGAACACTCATTAACTGACTCTCCTGCTCTGCAGTCAAGTTAGATGCAATGATGACTGGTAAAGTATCCTGGGGCCCTAAAAATGCATATTTGAGTGTGGCTAGGAGTGGCTTCAACTCAAGTGTAGGTGACGTGACCAAAGATCGTATGGCAGGCTCTCTCGACAGAGGAGGAAGTGACTCAAACCGGGCTTTCCACGGAGGAAAATCCAGTGTAGAAGAAGCATTAAGCAAGACATTCACCTCATCAACTGACCCATCAATATCAAAATTTTCAAACCCAAAATGAGCTAGACAAGCCTCTAAAGGGTCATCTACAAGAATGGAGGGCAAAACTTCCTCCACAACCTCATCCACAACATCCACAAATAAGCACTCCTCTCTCTCATGGGGTTGTTGGGATGCTTGGAATACATTAAGTTTCACTTGCATGTTACCAAATGAAACTTCCATCACCCTGGTACGACAATTAATGCATGCATTGGCCGTAGCCAAGAAAGGTCGACCTAAGATTGCCGGGATTTGTTTCCTAGAATTGGATACTAGTTCCATATCTAACACCAAAAAGTCAACAGGGAAGTAGAACCTATCAACCTTAACTAGCACATCCTCAATCATGCCACGTGGCACTTTGAGGGACCGGTTAACCAACTGAAGAGTAACAGTAGTGGGCTTTAACTTGCCAAGCCTAAATTCCTCGTACACAGAGTACGGCAACAAATTGACACTAGCCCCTAAATCTAATAAGGCCCTATCAATGAAATGGTCCCCTATAATGCATGCAATGGTTGGGGCACCCGGGTCCTTAAGCTTAGGAGGTATGTCATTCAACAAGATGGATCTTACTTGCTTTGTGAGTAAGACCTTTTAGGACACGTGTGTTCTAGATTTATGCTTTTGCGTGCAAAGGTCCTTCAAAAATTTGTCATATGAGGGTACTTGCTTAATCGCCTCCAACAGGGGGAGGTTGATTTTTACCTGTTTAAAGACCTCCATTATTGCTTCCATAAATGCCGTCTTCTTATTAAAAGGGGATGGTGTATCAAGGCACTGGGGAAAGGGTGCCTTAGGCACATATGGTGCCTTGGGCTTAAGTGAAGTGCTAGGGACTAAGTCATCCCTCTTAAGCGTTTCCCCCTTACCCTTGCTCTCATTGGGTGTACCACTGTGGCCACCCTTCTTAGCTCTAGTTACATCAGGCGCAACTGACTGAGGCTCAAACTCCCTCCCACTTCTTAACGTAATCACCGCTTGCACCTGCTCATGGTGCTTTCCATTCTTACCCAAACTCTCTGCCCCGTATTGTCCCTTTGGGTTGGCCACAGTTTGACTTGGTAATTTTCCCTCACCTCTCCGATTCATGTTGTTAGCCATTTGACCCAATTGGGCCTCTAGCTTGGCAATAGAGTGAGTGTGGGAGTGAACTACCGGTGCTAACCCCTTAAGTTCTGAGAGAACTTCTAACACCTGAGTCTCAAAGGTAGAGTTGCCCTGAGGAACAGACGAGGGTTGTGGTTGCCGGTACGGTTGTGGGGGTCTATAAGGTTGTGGTGGTCGGTAGGATGATTGGTTGGCAAAATTATTGAAATTCTGCCTTGGTGGTGGAGGATTGTAAGAAGTGTCTTGTGAAGGGGGTCTC